GGGTGGGTTCTGGGGGCTGTATGTCTTCATCTGGTGGTCTGCCACCTCCCTCGCTCTTGAAACGGCTGGTGGGTTCAAACTGCTTTGCTCATCTTTGGATTTGGGGGAGGAGCGCTTTAACCCCGGTGCCATCAGGGCTCCCCCCAACAAGCTAAGACCTTGGAGTCTGTGTCTCGGGTTTCCCAAGGCCTCATCAATCGGAGCACCCCGCCACGTGGCCACAGCTGCCTTTGAACCGCCCAGCTGGTGGTGAGCAGTCTGACCAGCCCCCAGTGGGTTAGCAGGGTGACTTGTCACTGTTTACCTGGCAGCAGAGGGGCATCGAAAAAGAGGAAGGCCTTCCGTGAGACGCTGCAGCCGTGGGCTGAGGATCACAGGAGGGACTGGGCTGTGTTTCGTTCTGTTGTGAACCGGGTCGCTGCGTTAGAGCCGACTCGGCGGCGCCGAACCACCCGCACTAGCTTGGCACCTTGAAAGGGTCCGGGGTTGCTTCGAAATAGGACGTGCGTGGGAGGGGGGTGAACGGACAACGGGGCACAGAGAAAGGATGAGGACGGCTGGTTGGTCACCAGGTGTGTAGTTGGAGCCAGTGTCGCTGAGCTGGGTCGGGGGTGGGGGGTGAGTAGAAATTGGCGAATGAGGCCTGTGATATAAACCAGTCAGCGTCTGTAGAGGGACAGCCGGCTGTGCTCGGACGTATGGGCAGTGGTTGCCAGGAGTCAGAACGGACCCTGGGGCACCCACCTGGATCTGTTTTCCTGACTCCCTCCGGGTGACAAGGAGTCCTGGTGGTGGTGTGGTGATGTGTCGAGCTGCTAACCGGGAGGTCGGCAGTGTCGGAAACAACCACCCTGCTCCTTGGAGAGATGTGCTTTCTGCTCCCGTACAGAGTCAAGTCTTGGGAACCCACAGGGGCAGTTCTGCCCTGGAGAGGCACTAGGAGTTGGCATGGACTCAATGCCAGCGAGTTTTGTTTCTGGTTTTCTGTGTGACAACAGAAGTGTAGAGCTGTCACAGACGGAGCCCGTGGACCCATGGGAAGTGCTGGCCACCTGGGGAAGGGACAGTGTCCCCACTCCCCTACTGCCCCTACACCCCTTTGCAGCAGGTAAAGGCAGGTGCCCTGGGGGTTTCCTGTAGCCTCATTTCACCGCTATCATCTCCCCGGCAGAGGTCTCGGGGCCTGAGCCTGGCCCCCAGGAGCAGCTGGTGTTCGGCAGTGGGGACATCATGGAGCTGAGCTGCCACCTGCCTGCGGACAGTGCCCCCGGGCCGACCATCTGGGTGAAGGATGGCTCAGGCCTGGTGCCCTCAGCCCGGGTCCTGGTGGGACCACAGCAGCTGCATGTGCTCAACGTCTCCCAGGAGGACTCGGGCGCCTACAGCTGCCAGCAGCGATTCCGGCAGCGCGTGCTGTGCCGCTTCAGTGTGCGGGTGACAGGTCAGTGCCCGCCTGCCAGGTGGGGGGACTTGGGCTGGCTGAGCCTGAGCATCTCGACAGGTGGCTGACATTGGAGGAGGGTCCCCAGGAGGGGCTGTGTGAATTAGGGGGCTCCTGAGGGGAGCCAGGGGGTGAGACACGACCTTCGGCCGCAAAGCGTTGAAGTGGGAGGGAAGACGGTGGCACTGCCCACATGCCCCCCTTTGCTTGGCAGATGCACCATCATCGGGAGATGATGAAGATGGTGAGGATGAGGCTGAGGACACAGGTGAGACCTGGGTCCAGGCCTGCAGGGGCGGGGGGTGAAGCCGACTTGACTCTGAGCAGGGCCTGCGGACCAGCCTGCACCTCGCTGGATAACCCCACCCTCCCTGGTTACCCATATCTGGGCCCTGAGAAGGGGGCCAGGCCTGGGAGGGAAGGTGGCCCATACTGGTGATGAGGGAGGGGGCAGGGTCTGAAGGCCGGTGGGGCTGGGCCCCTTTTGGTCACTGGGGTGAGCGACTGCAGGTGGGGCAGCTGAGGCTATTGTCTCAGTCCCTGGGGTCAGGGACGCCTGATGAGGCAAGTTGTGCAGGTGGCAGTGGGGTGAGGGGTGGGGGTGACACAGGCAGGTGGGGCATCTGGTCTGGAGGAGCCTGGTTTGAGATGCTGGTGAGCAGATAAGGGTCTCACGGGTGGGCACGTCCCTGGAGAAGGGCCCCTGTTAAAAGGCTGCCTGTGTCCGGGCCTCGCTGCCCCACTCAAAAGAGGACCAGGGTGGGAGAGCTGGGGAGAAAGAGTCCCATGGCACCTGGAGCAGGAGCACTTGGGGCCCTGAGTGGAAGACTTGCCCCTGCCCCCCGGGGCCAAAGTCAGGAGCTGCTGGGTGCCTCTTCTCTCTGGCCACCAGGGAGCTCAGAGCCTGGTTTCTGGCTGTCCACCCCAGATGGAGCCACCTGGGTAGGGAGCTCGGTGTGAGAAAGTGCCTCTTCTCGGCTTCTGTCAATGACACCCCCAGCCTGCAGGGCCCTCTATGCCCCTCCCATCATGGGTTACAGTGGGAGAGTCCTCCCCCCTGCCTCCTGGCCCGGGGAAGGCCAGGCCGGGCAGTCTGGCTCCTGCTGGCAGGCCAGCCCTCCTCAACACGAGTCCCAGCAGGAAGGCAGCTCCCACCCAGCCCAGAGGAAGGAGAAAAACCAGTTAGGCCATGGGGTGGGGGGTGGGGGGGCAGTGGCCCTGGACGCCAGCACAGTGGGGTGGGGCCTCGGCAAGGCCTGCTCCCCGGGCCTCTGAGCCCTGTGGATGCAGGGGGGGTCTTGGCAGCAGACCTAAGGGTCATGGCTATTGTTGGTTGCACCAGTGGGTGGCTGTGGCTTGCCTCGCCCCCTAGTGAACTACCCCAGGGCCTGCCCCGGCTCGTGCTCCCAGCTGGGCACCATGACCGGTTGGCCTGGCCTCTCTCTGTCAGCGGTGTCCTGAGGCCATGTGGTGTGTGGGTGGCTGAGCTGAGGTGTCTCTGGCTCCTTTCTGTGGAGCACGCTGAAGACGCCAGATCGGGATGGGGTGCCCTGAAACCCTCCCCTAGAGGAGATAGGACAGGAGGAGACGCTGGCTAGCCCCTAGGTGCTGGCACAGGGAGGGGTTTGGGCATGGTGCCAAGTCTCCC